AAATTGACTCCCAAGTTTTGATTGAAATGTGCTTCTTTCACATCATTAACGTAATAACTGTGTTTGTCTTTGCTAATAAAATAGGAATAAACTGTCTTTTCTAGTTGTCATAAGTTTAATTTAACAAACAGAAGTGTTGTTTGTTTTTCACTTTGTTTATTGCAGCATTTTCTTAAGATTAGGCCTACAACTATTGTAATTCATACTGTGATATGTTTAAGAGGTTAGTGTTGCCTCCAGACCTTTTCCTGTTTGCTGTGATAATTGTTTTCTTCACTGGTGATGATTGTATTCCTTATTTTACATATAAGTACTTGTGTACACATTCCCATACTTTTTTGATTTCCATATCCTATATTACCTCATAGTCAGATTATAGTTTGTTGTTTTTTTCATTGTTTCTCATATTTTGAAGGCTTCTGGATGCCCTAACTTTTATATACATTGTAAGCTGCTTGTTCACCGAGTGATTTACAACTTGTGTGGTGGGATTATTAGCTAGACATGGTTCAAAGGGAAATAAAACAATAAAATTAAATATAAACAAGTATATACTGTAATGAGTTATAATATGAAATCTGATGGTTATTTTGTGATTATGAACTCGATCATGCCGACTAAGCCTTTAGTGAGAGAGTTCATTCATTCCATCCATGTACTACTTTGTCTCATTTCTGCCTCATTCTTACATGACATTTTAAGCAAAAATATATAGTTTTTCTCCCCATTTCCTTGCTGCCGTAAATATTTATTGCATCCTCTATTGAACATTTCCCTTCTGAGAAGCTTGCAGTCTACTAAAAGTTAGCGGGATTGTTTCGGCCCTCCTAAAAAGAAGTTGGATGGTGTCCCACCTCATCTCACCTCATTTTAAACATTGTATATTGAGACAATATGGACAATGAGATTCAGATTTTTATCAGTAACATACTATATGCTCTCCTTTTATACAAGATGACCTGTCCTGCTTTAGAGCTGTAACATAAAGAGGTACAGCAGGCCATTCTCTCTAATGGGACTCATGAGAGTTCTATTTCTGTTAGACTGAATGATCTCTGTTACAAGATGCTACACCATCTTTCCTCAGCTTCTCAAGGCTATCTTGTGGTTCTTTTCAACCAAGTTTGGCAGGAGGATACATTTCTTAATATTATGATGCCAGCTAGTGTCATCCTTTTTTCAAAGCCTCGGAAGGATACCAAGATTCTTTCTAATTAGAGAGTCATTGAGTTTATTAGTTATCTGCTTAAGGTTTTGAAAGGATTGTTAATGGTTACCATGTTTGTTTTTTTCATTCAAACAATACTTCTCAAACACTGAGTTTTGTCCTTATAGGCAGAGATTCACTGCAGTCTATATAATTCAGCTTGAAATGTGAGTTGAAGAAGTTTGTCTTCAGAGGGAGCAACTTGTTTCTGTATTTATGTAATTTGAAAATAAAAACTTATGTACCACATGTATGTCCAATATTTCACATTGTTATTAGTTATATGGCCATTTAAAATTTTGTATGTATCATTTTAGCAGCACCCCAGTGGCTAAGCAGTAAATCAGCAAGCTCACAATGCTAAAAAACAGATTTTGGAAATGCTACCTACCACTTTGCACCAATAAGAACTATCACCTCACATGCAACTGCAGTGGAATTTTCTGCAAATGTCACAAGCCTTGAACAAATTTCCACTCCTAAACGTGTCTATGTATATTGCACCAGCCTATGATGTAATTGTTATAATGCTGTAGCCCTCCACCAGTAGGAGGGCAACACATCTTCCATGCACAGTAATCCCCATGAGCACTAGCACATGATTATAGAGCCATTCTTTCTTTAGCACTACTTGTGTTCAGATGTGCTTTTTCTTGTGTTTTTAAGTTTCTAGTGGACTTGATCAATTGCTTTTTTCCTTTTTGCACTTTTGTTCCATCCACCTGATTGCAACATCACTATTTTTTTAGTCATCATCTTCTTACTTTAGGCTTCTTTCAATATGACAAATAAATTATTTAAAAGAAACTCCCCAAATTCAGACATTCCTTTTCAGGCTTGAAATTTCACCAAATGAGTCAATGGTGACTGGAAGCATTTGGATCTGACATTCAGTTGTTATCCCTTTAACTCACTTAGCAGAGCACACTCCTGTGTGTGACAGGTTTCATGTTTCACTTTGTGGTGAGGTACTTTTAACATTATGGATAATTTAACTTCTTCAACTTTATTGAGGTGTGGTGGACCATGGTGTACTAAGTTCTGATGATGTTTCCACTTTCATGCATCATGTGGTTGATTCCCTTCTGCCTATTTCTTCTCCAGGTTTTCTCCAAAGAACATGGATAAAACCCTTGAAAACTCATTTAACAACAACCTATGTGCTAGGCCATAGTGACATATCATTTAATGAAATAGTGGATCACCTAGCTGCTGATATAATTGGTGAGATATGGTTGTGGTTGCTCTGAGTAGCACTTAGCTGGTTAGAAATATTTGTTTTGTAGTAATGCTGCTCAGACCAAACCCAAAGCAAGGTGATGGTTGACTGCTCATGTTGCTATTGTCATGGCTGCATTCTGCATCATGATCATTGCTCACTTTGCCACTAATGCACACAAATAGATTCCATCTTTCCTTCTAGTCATAACTGTTGCACTCATCAGATTAATTAATCTTCTTTATTTTACTTTCTGGGAGGCCTCCCATTGGATCAGTGGTAAGTCTGAGAACTGATAATGCTAAAATTGGATGTTGTATGAAGTCCGGTAGCCAATATTCAGCAGGCATTATCTGGGTTGGATGAATATTTTGTTATCAGTTGACCACCAGCAAAGACCTTTGCTGGCTTCCCGCACACCCTTTACCATTGCCATGTGAGATGCTTGCAACAATTATATTGTTAATGTACATATATGGAGCTGATTTGAACAATTTCAGATCTCCATTTAGCAAATTTCAACTGACAACACCTGGTGTCCTGCATGAGTGAGCATTGTCATAGTCTAGAGATCTATTTTGTTGGTTCTCGTTTAGGTTAACCAGCATTAAGCAATCTAACAGGAGAATGTTTTTTCAAAGTTTTTGAAATTTGTGTTTGATTGTGAAAAGCTGGTGTAAATAACTAATTTCTTATATATACAGAGAAAAATCCTGAAAACAAGGCTGTTTATCTAGTCTTAGTATTCTGAATAGCAGCTGTTTCATCATTTGATTAAAATTTATGTTCATAGACTTAAAGACAGTATTAAAAACTCCTGGGTTGGAGTCTTAGGAAGCTCTGAAAACTGTTAAAAACAAGCTTAGCTTAATTAACTAAAAAATGAGAAATTTTGATTTGATAAGTTACTGTGAAGTTGCTTATTTTTGGGTCATGTATTTTTGTATGTATTATCATTCCTAAATAATTCAACATTAAAAAAAAAATAAAAAAAGCTTTATAAAAGCATCTCTATAGTGTAAAACTACTTAATGTTCCTGGTCTGCCATATTTTATAAGTTAGAGTTTTGTTTAAAACTTGTAGGCTTCCTTGTTATCTTACTGTATTAATTTATTTCCTTTTTTTTTTCTGTTTAATTTACAAAATCTTTGACTGTAGATAGCAATCTAATTTTTATGAGTTTTCTTAAAAATAATTCTAAGGCAATTAACTCTAGAGCCAGGCATAGTCAGTTTGATTTCCCTTGTAACCATGAAACTATACGTACTTTAACCATGAGTGTACTAAGTTTATCTTCACGAAATTTGTTCAGTTTTTAGAAAACGGTAGAAGTTTGTATACAAAAACCATATTTTTTTTAACAAGGTATTTTTACTGTCTGTGAATTACAAAGCCTTTACTGAAAACTTTTTTAATAAAGTATTTTTACTTTCTGTGAATTACAAAGCCTTTACTGAGTGAAAAGTGATTTTCATGCTAACAATAAAAATACTTCTTATCATAGTACAGTTTTCATATTTCATTCACATAACCTCTAGAAACCTCCTAAATGATTATCAGAAAATTAATTCCAGAAAAACATTATATTTTATCTGTTATCTCCTTTACCCTAACACTAACTATAGTTAAATCAGTAATGTAGTGTAAAATGAAAAGCTGAAAAACATGAAATAATTTATCTTTCTGGTTGTGGAAAATTTCAGTAAATCCTCAAAAGTTAATTCATAGTATATGTTTAAGAGCTGTATCAATACTTTACAGCCCCCAGTGGCACAGCGGTATGTCTGCGGACTTACAACGCTAGAATCCGGGTTTCGATACCCGTGGTGGGCAGAGCACAGATAGCACATTGTGTAGCTTTGTGCTTAATTACAAACAATAATAATAATACTTTACATAATTTTTGTAAACCTGTGCTCATTTTACGCATGTTCATCATTTTAACTACAAACATCAGCGTGTGCAACATCCAATATGTAATATAAGTTTTATCCTACTTTAAAACTAGCAAAATTGAGTTGAGACGTTACTTAAAATACAATACTTTAAAACCCTTTTTTTTGTCTTAAAACTTTGTTTGACTTTTAACTTCTATTATTTTAGCACTGCTTATGGCTGCCAAGTTGCCAATTAGTTTAATGATGCAGTTTATTATATAAGAGGAGACAACCATGAAGCTACCCTCCTTAGTTGTGGTTTGTTTTTTCTTGTCAATAGGTTTTGAAACTTACCCAAAGAAATGAAATTGAGCCATTGTATGAATTATAGTATTAACATTCCAACTAGGTGTATATGAATAAGTATATAATCTTAGAATAATGTGATTTATTATTTTTTCTTTATTGCAGCAAAAGAAACAAATTCAATGCAAACTAATGAGAATGTCTGTGATAATTTTCTGGAAGATAAAAATGATGAAGAAGAGGATAGTGGAGCAAGTAAAAAGCTGAAAGTTAGCAATGATGCTACACTAACAACTGGTGGAAACAAATTCATTCAAGACACCAAGCTTCATCAAGATGTTCTTGAGCTGCAGAGTAACCAAATCTTCAAAATAATAGAGGTTGAAAAAATGAATAATACGGAATTTGTAAAGTCTGCAGAACAGATTCAAAATAATTCAGCAACAGAGAAGAGACATCAAGGTTGTCCATTAAAAAATGAAGAAAAAGAAGTGTCATGCTTGAATACCATTGTCAAAACTTTTCTGGTTGGAAAGGAAGAAATAGAAGAAAATGGCTTATTATCAGCCAGTTCTCCTACAACTGAAATGAGTGCTGAAAATGGCCAAGCATCAGGATCTGCTGGAACTAGTTTAAGCAGTGATCCCAGTTCACCACTGCTATCAACTACATTTTGCAAGAAGGATAGAAATGGACAAGGACCAACAATGTCCGAATCACTAAACAAAGGAAGCTCAGAAACCAAACCAAAAGATGATAAAAATAAGTCTCTTTGCTTAGATTCCAAGCCAGATTTCAGTATTCATCAAGATATCGCAGATTTCTTTTTCATAAATCCATCATCTAAAAATAATACTTCTTTGACCACAGAGTCACCACTAAACACTGGACACAAAAGGCTAGCTTGTGTAACTAAGAAGGTAACAAACTGTATTCCAGTGTTTGAAAATTCAGGTGGAGAGCAAGGTTTTTGTGTATTGCATATCAAAAGTACAACCTCAACTCCATTGGTTGGAATTATTTCACTGGATAGGTCTAGGTATGGAGAGGATGATACTGAAGTGCCAAATACTTTTCCTGTAGGAAACACTGTTGATTTTTTCCCAAGTAAAGAACAGCAATTTGTTGAAGATCCAATCATGCCATGTCTGATACCATCAAATGGTGATATACCTGCTTTAATAAAAAAATCTGCTCCATTGTTCAATACAGAGTTTGATGTTGGTAAACCAGCAAATTCTCAAAAGGAGGCACTTAAAGGGATATTTGAAGCATATTCTGGAATAGGAAAGGCTTTTGATTCTAAACCATCATTAGAAAATAATATAAATAAAAAATGTCAGTTGCATAATGAAGATGTAAGTAAATTACCTGTAATTGACTTGAGAATGAGCAACAGTCAGGATAAGAAGAAAGGCACTATTTATGACTGTCATACAGAGATGTTTTCAAATATTCAAGATGGCCAGGAGAATGTACATATATACTCAACTCAGAACAACATGATATCTACAGAACACCTTTCATTTCAGTGTGTTAATAATGGAAAAATGGAGAACTCGGATCATTCGGTTGTAAGCAGTGTGTCTAGTAGTGATTGTTGTAGCCCCAATATACATCATAAAGAATTTGAAAAGGACATGTACAGGGGCAGTGATATAAAACAAAAAGCTGTTCATGCTGCTGTGTTTCATTCAGGTGTTAATCGTGGCGCTGAATGCTGTGATACAAAATCATCAATAGCTTGCAATGGTAACAAATCACTAATTGATAAATTGCCCAATCAGTCTACACCAGCTGACCAAGGTAAATCAGTCAAGGTACACAAAGAAATAAGCAGCTGTACTAGTGAGGAAATGTGTACAGAACAAGAAGATGCATTGTCAAAAGTACAAGAAAATGTGATCAGTTCTGGCCATAAGACACAACTGGCTATTTCAGACAAATCATTATATACTGCAGTGAATAAGTTTATTAATAAAGAAGCACGAATTCACAAATACGATTTATTACATGTTTGGAAAAATGAGTTTATTTGTAATAAAACTGCTTCTGTTGATTTATCAGGCCTCCACAACACAGTGACTGCATGCAGTACTAATGCATTAGTTAAAGACTACAGTAATATATTAAGCTTTCAAGACAAAGTAACTGTATGTGATAATAATGTACCAGCGATTGACCAAAGTTCATCTAGTTTACAGGACAGTAAGAACTCATGTGAAATTAACACATCACGGTCCAAAGAAAGTTGTGTGTTAAACATACAAGACAAGATTACTAGATGTGATACATCTCATAACACATCATTGACTACCCGGGATGGTTTACTAAGCTCCTATGACAATGTTACTACATGTGGTGTTTCTCTACCAGTTATTGACAAAGACAACTTTTCCATTATGCATGACAAGGTGTCTGATTTTAATGATGCTTCACATAACAAAGGAAGCAAATTTTCTGGCAGTCAGTTTGCAGATGACTGCCAGTATCAAACAAAGATTGTGAAACATTTAGTTAATAAACATTTCATCAGAAAGATTAATAATTCACAAGACACTTCCATTATGAAAGAATCCAAAGAAGCAACACTCCTTCCAATATTGACCACTACCACAGATGAGCAACACATCAGAAATAACCAAAGTTTAAGCTTCCAGCAAATGTTCAAAGAAAGTGACATTGGGGTTATACAACAAAAATTAGGTATTAATAAATATTCTCATATAGCCGTTATAGAAAAAGGGTCTAAAACAGACTATGTGCAGAAAAACTATGCTCAAAGCAAACAGTGTAATAACTTAAAGGGGTCTCTTACAAATTGTGATTATGAAGCTCTTGATGATGTAGCATCTAGCAAACTTGGTGCTACTAAAGAAACAAACAAAAAAAGTAAAGTGAATCATGTTGATATGGAGGAAAGATTCAACCCTGTGTGGGACATTGATATTGATTATAGCCAAACCAGAAACACTAAAAGGCAGATAAGGGTTCCTAATATGGAGCAAGATAAAACTTGGGTCAGTGGTTTAAGGTCAGATTATCATCAAGATAGCTTACAAAAAAAGAGTGGACGAGAAACACAAATATTCTTTACTGAAGAGCATTATTTAAAGGACAAGAAAGATGCTTTGATTTTTGGTTATAAATCTAAAAAGAAAGACAATTTTGGGAATTATACTTTCAATAAAAATATTCCACATGTAAAGCAAAGAACTGCCAAATTCCAACTGCCAGTTGCTGGTCCTCAGAAGTACATACAATATAATAGAAAGTCAGCTAATAGACCAGCCAGCTATAAACAGTTTCTACATTGTGGAATGAAAAAAAGGAAATTTTTCAGTGTTAAGAGAAAGGCATATCTTAGTAACCCACAGGGTAGAAAGAAATGCACAGAGAAAAGTAAGTATGATACATAAAACTTCAATAGTAAGAGTAAAATGGAAAGTAAACATTATATCTTTCTTAAGAATGCAAAACAAAGAAGACATATTTGAATCATCAATTCAAAAATTACTTTGCTAATTATTTCTATGTATAATCACCAGATATGCTGACTTACTGTTTCTATTAACTAGATATACTCATGTATGATCTCTTGTGTGTCTAATAAGTGCATTTATTGTTTGTATAATATTATATCTAGACAGACTGTTTATTGTCTCCAATAACTAGATGCACTGACTTATTAGCTGAGCAATAATTAGATGTACAGATTAATGGTTTCTACAATAATGGATATCTAAAGTTTTGTTTGTATAGAAACAGTGATTACTGGATCAGTGTTGCTTCTAGGATTTTTCTGAAGTGGACCAAATTCCCCACTGACTTCTAGAGAGTTGGCCATCCATGTAATGAAGTATTTATATACTTTGCAAGTCATAAAAGCATAATATGATCAAGTAACACTTATTTGTAGAAGCAGTAAATTGAATCATTGCAGTTTGTTTCATTTGTGTATGTACTGAAAATATCTACACATTCACTACAAAACTTACATTGCAGTTGTCTTCTCTGCACCTTTTTCCTTTATTTATTTCTTTTTTTGCATCTTTTGATGGAAAAAAAATGTAATAATTTTTTGATAATTAACTGCTTTTTGAATGTCTTTGTACCTTTCATATTTTCTGCCATTTTTAATTATCAATATCCCATAACATCATGGGAATCTCCTGCGAAACAAATGATGTCATAATGCAGCCAATCACATTTCTTTGCATATCCAAATGAACTAATTAATATTCAGAATTTTACAGATTAGATTGAGATCTATTGTTACAAAGTCATTCATGATAAATTTCAAAGGGTGGACAAACACGAAAAATTAAAATTTTGATAAAAGAGTTATCACAAAGGATAACGTGTAAAGTGTAATAGACTTAAAATAAGACCCAAAACTCGAGCACTTTCAAATAATTGACTATTCTTCTTTGTTCTCCTGAAGAAGAATAGTAAACTATTCGAAAGCGCTCGAATACTTCTATTTATTTTTTTTTTGCATGAACTAGTATACAAGTAAACAATTATTTTGCACTAGTGGCAATTAAAATAGAGTAAATATGCAAAGTACGTATCCAAGAAGCAACACTGTGGCTGCAATGATCTGTTTTGTATAAAACAATGTGATTTATTTTCTTTAATAGATAGGTATCTATATTAGCTGGATATACTTATATATTTAAACTGGACATACTGTCTTAAGTTATTAAATAGCAAGGCATTCTGTTCTGTTTTAACTAATAACAGAATGTATTCATGCTCATTTTATTTGCTAAATTAATGGATGTATTTATCTGTTTCTTTATTATTTGGACTTGCTAATCTGTTAACTTTAATATAATAACTAAACACAGTAGTATTTTTTTTATGACCATCTAATGAATTATCGTAACCGGACAGTCAAAAATAACAAAATATAAAGAAATTACTGTATTATTTTATTAATTTGATGTGATTTATATATGTTTTAATTAAGCAGATGAACATCTTATTTTTATTACATACTTATTATAGTGTGATCTTGAATACATTTTCTATTTGTTTTCTTTGAGAGGGTTGGTTTGTTTTCACTAGTAAGTTATCTCTTTCTAACTGTATTCTCTCTTCTGTTGTATACTAGTAACTCTTTAAGTTTGCTCATGTTGGGTATATACTTGCAAATTGTATACTAACATAACAGAACTTCAAATACTAGTCATTTCTATTGAAAACACACTGTGATATTGGAAACTCCTTCCCCTCTCCAAAATTGGAGCATGTGGTGATGTGTATGATTACAAGAGGTCCATAAAACCATAGCATCAGCTGTAGTTCAGTTCATTTAGTTGTGCTGAAAATGGTAGAGGTAAGGAGTTGTTCAAGCTTCAATGAGGGATGATCACCAAGGCCTACCAAGCAGATGTCTCCATCACTAAGATACTGTTACTGACAGACGTTTAAAAAACTAGTTTGTCTTTAGTGCACAGAGACTAGTAGGCCAAAAAATCACTTCTACCAACAGATGGAAAAGTAATTGGCTCCAAAAGGCTGGTGTCAAGACAGAGTTTAACAATAAATAGATATGAATATAATGAGTTCCAGAGGTCAGGTAGAGGAACAGTTAGCAGTCACCAGATGTTGTATGATATAGCACAACTACTTGCATGTTACAGGTTGATATGGTGGAGATATTTCCATTGCTGCTGACCAATAAATAAACTACTAATGATGGTTTAGAACAGAAAGATGTAATTACAGTGATGCTTGGAGAGACAATAGTAGATCATCAGTGACTGAAAAAACATCATGTGTTAGATAAATTCAGATTCATCCTAATCTGCATGAATGGTAGGTTACTGTATGAGGGAAACCTCATGAATCATAGGACTCAAGTTGTGTGGTACCTACTGTTTGAGTGACAGATAAAGATGCAACGTTTGAATGGTTGTTTTTCTTGACAGATCATGAATCCCTGATCCCTCTGGAAGGCTGAGTAAATTCTAGGGCTAACTTTTAAGATTATAACTGCTCAGGTTCACCTCCATTATATTTAATGTATATCTCAAAAGCATTGGCTTTTTCCATGATGACGATGCCCCAATTAACTTTGGTGGAATAGTCGAGGATTGATTCCTGGAACATAATATACTTGTTGGACTTTTTTTTCTGACCATATCATTTGTTAGACCTAATTCTTATTTTAATGCCCCATAGTGTGGATTCCTGTACATTGAAAGTGGACCTTCCAGGAAATATTCTGCCTATGCATCTTAACCTCTGTGTTCCATGCATTCATGCTTGCTGACCTGTGAAAGGGAATTGAAAATCTTGATAGTTGAGTAATGCCAAGGTCGCTGTAACACACTACTTTGACCTTGAATTCCTGTAAACAGGGCTCTAGGGTGACTCCATAAAGGGAATTTTGCTGATCACTTGTGGCTAGGACAAACCAAGTGACAGTATGAGAAGTGTTTTGAACATTATATCTGATACTGGTGTTTAGGTATTGTGTCCATTAAACCTTTGCATTGTTGCACTGTCCTTAAGATGTTGAGCTTTTAGCAGTGTAGCCTGTCTCCTTATCAGACTTTTTGGGAGATGAAGACAGTGTGCACCCAAAGGTTTTAATTTCTTTATGGATTAAAATAACGTTATAACAGTCAAGCAACACTGCAGTGATGGTTCTTGTAAACCTTTATTGGTTGTGCTTCAATTTCTTATTCTCCATTCTTTTTCAGAAACATCTCTTTCTGAGGTGTCTCCTTTGGGCTAGCTGGCTTTCCAAAGTTGGTAAAGAAAATAAGATCTAGGGACCTGCTGGTTGAAATACCAAGACAACAAAACAGTGAACTCCTCTTGACGTTAAGGGTGTTGGAGGAATGAATACCCATTGATGTAACCTCCACAACACTTTGAATTTCTCAAAAGGAGGTAGTAGTTGAGAGGGATATTCTTAACATCCCCAAGTTGGAGATTCCGGCTGAACTTCCAAGTCAAGAAGTGTCAGCTCTCAGAAGAATCTCCACTCAAAATAATGGAATATCTGAGCTGACTATGATGACAATCCTGACTTCACCACACCAGCCTGTCAATGAATGATCACATTATATACTCCTAACCCTCATTGATGTTTTTACAACCAGTAGTTTGGAAATTTACAAAACATCATGCTGTTTTTCTTTAACCCTATCTGGAACAAAGGGGTGTGGTTGATATCCCTTGATTTTTTCCTTCTCACAGTTGAAATACTTAACCAAATTGCACGAAACTTAGGACAAACTTATGACATAGTATCTTGTTTTGGGTTTAAAAAATAATACAATTTTATTTAATTTTTCTATCATCTTTTATATTGTGAATTTTCTAAAATTTTGTTCTGAAACAGTTTTTGAGGAAAACATTTGAAATGCTTTCTTTTATCTTAATTTTTATTTTTTATTGTTGATATATTCAATCAACTTCTACTTGATTGATGTTTGTTTATTAACATATTTCTTTTTAAACTTCATTCTGCGGCATTGCCAGGTGGTTAAGGCACTAGACTCGCAATCTGACGGTCGTGGGTTCGAATCCCTGTCATACCAAACATGCTCGCCCTTTCAGCTGTGGGAGCATTATAATGTGATGGTCAATCCCACTATTCATTGATAAAAGAGTAGCCCAAGAGTTGGCGGTGGGTGGTGATGACTAGCTGATTTCCTTCTAGTCTTACACTGCTAAATTAGGGACGGCTAGCGCAGATAGCCCTCGTGTAGCTTTGCGCGAAATTCAAAAACAAACAAACAAACTTCATTTTGCTTACTGCAGTAGTCATCACTTATGGCTATAAATTATAAAAAACTGCATAAACTGACAAAGATTTATTGGTAGCCTAAGGGATAGGTAGCAGTATTTTTCACTAACAATGTTATTGGCCAGAATAAACTTATTTAATAAATGTACCTCATTTTCAATAAATTGTAAGATATTTTATTTATATTCATTAAGTACAATAAAGTTTACAATAATATTCAATAAACAAGAATTTGAGTCATCAGGATATTTTGCCATCTCAACTGTACTCTCTAAACTTAATATGCCTTACTTGATGTTTAGTCATTAAACATGGTTGCTATAACTTTCATATAAAAGAAATCTAACATAAAATTTCTCAGGGAAGAAAATAATATTTAGAGAAACTGTCAAAAAATTCCCATATCTGTAGTTTGTTCCTAAGTTTTCCAAAATTCCCAGCAACTTATGTTTTTCTGCTCAGGAAACCATAAATTACTTCTCACACCACTTTATTGACTTATTCAATTGACACTGATATAGATAGTTTATCATTCACTCCATCAAATGGTATTTAAACTTTGCCTAACTATTTTCAAAGCTGTTGTTTATTAGTAGTTGCTCCCACCCTTATACAGCTTCACAGCATGTGATATGAACATAGGCCTCTAATACTACATTGTTGAACAGAGAAGGAAAAATATGAGAGAAACAAGGTAACAGGGATAATAGTTTCTTAGCAAATAAAAACCCATGCTTTAGGATAGGCAGAAAAATTATAAAAAAAAATCTAAGTGCTTTGTTTACAGGTAAGACTCCTTGGAACAGTGCAGGATTGTAAGTTTTAACTTTTTTTTTCCAATTATCTTTGTGAATTACACAAAATGAATATTAAACTAAAGTTAGAATAATTATTTGTACATAAATTTTGCAACTTAGAATATAGTTGTGCACTTGGCACGTGATCCTGAAAGGGTTAATTCTGTGCTCGTTGCAGAGACAAAGACCATGAAAGCATTGGAAAGAATTACACTGTCTCTCGTCTGGTTCCCACCCCTCTTGTTCTATATCATGCCCAAAATGGGTTGAGGAGAAAGAGGTACAGAGAATTAAGACTCAGTACATTAGATCATGGCTCAAAAAATGGTTGCAGTATTTGTGAAGTAAAGGTCTTCTTAGTAATCCATGTACCTGGTTAACCCCAAAATTATTATCTAAGAAAGAGCTCAAATTTATTATACATGTAGTAGTGTAACTGTTTTCACAATCTTCTCTCCAGACTTATGATCAAGATAAACATACTATTGTAGGCTATGTTTTTTTTCAAAATTGACCTAACTTCATGAATAAGTTACATGTAAAAGAATTCCACTTGCAAATTTTCTCATATGTATAGTACTTTACTGAAAACAAACTCAAAATTTACAGTGATGAACCAACTAACTGGCTGACTCAATAACCAATCAACAGTCTAATCTAGTTTCACCTAAACCACACATTTCATATTCTTCAAATTATTTCCAAAATTCAAAAAAATTCTAGCAATTAGTCACATACTTATTGCATGATGTTCAAACTCCCTCAGGCCAAAAGCAATACAAATGTCTAAGTTGAATGTTGGTTTTAACCATGGGATTTGAAGTTGAAGAAATGAAATGGTTGTTATTTTTTAGTGCACTGGACTTTCGGTTATCCTTTTTTACCAAATAATCAAAAAGGACTTTCCTAACAATAGAAACCATCACAATAATAATATAGTAATTCATAGAAAAATTAAAAGAAGTTAAAACTACAGTTTTCAGAAACTTAGAAACATTTTTCAGTTATTAATGTGAAAACATTTATTTTTTACTTGTCTGAGTATGCCAGTGTAATTTTTTCTTCATTTAAAACTTAGAACAAAATGAAATGTTCTGTGCTAAAGAAGATAAAGAGAGGAAAAGTCAAGGACATAGTACTTCATCAGCAGTTTGGAAAACTACTGACTCGTCAAAAATATGAAAACAGCTGTGATTCAAGTTAGTGTGTACTTGTTTATATATATATGTATGTATTATCTGTGTGTATGTGCATGTGTAGATACACATATAGCCAAGGGAAGGTTTTTTAGAAAAAAGACGAAACATTTTGACAGTTGTGCATGACTGTATAATTAGTTATTTAAAGAAACTAGAAACTAATGTAATGAAGTTTATCATGTTGATTTAATCCAAGGTGGTTTATCTAGTACATTATTACATACTTTAGATAAGGTCTTCAGATACAGTAATCTCAATCTAGTAATACGAACCAAGGACTCTGAAAAATGTCACAGAAAAGGAAGACTTGCATATTACATACACACACACACATATATAAAGTACATGCAGAAGCCCTTGTATATGTCCCCCTGGTGACTCAGTGGTAAATCTGGGGACTTATAACACTGATAATTGGGTTTCTATACCCACAGTGGGCAGAGTATATATAGTTAGTTGTGTAGCTTTATACTTAATAACATAATCAGTCAATATACAGTGAGATTATTAGGTCCAAAATAATGAAGACTCGTGGAATTAAATATTCAATGACAATGTGTATATTTTAAAACTTTAATGAAAAAATATCTTATACATAATTATAATTGACTGAATCTAATTTTGTAACAGTGTAGAATTAAAATCAGGTTATTGTTGATTTTAACAGGCTTAGTTTGTATTTCTCCACCCCAGTGTGGTATGTATGTGTATAATATATATATATATATTGTGCTTTTATTTATGCTTTTGTAAGAGCCAATAAGGCCTATGAAAACACTACAAAATAGTGTTTTCATAGGCCTTATTGACTATATATTCTGTGGTTTATATTTATTTTATAAATAATAAAAAAATAGTTATATATACATACATACATTGGTTGAAATGAGCCAAAAATGACATTATAGGAGTTTTTAAAACTTAAGCTTGGATGCTGTTTTCCTTATGAATTAAGTTTTCATTAGATCACTTTTGTTACTAACAAGTACATTTTGGTCCAGCACTTAAAATAATGATTTGAAAATTAATCGTTAGGTAATTTTCTTCTATTCACCACAAATATATTACTTCAAATAATCAAGAGATGCATACATAAACCATGATGACTATATAGGTGTTTGATACCATGTTAATAGGAGAGTTAAACAGATTGTATTCACACAGTGAACCAGTTGCACCAGAACATTTTATTTTGAAATTACTGAGAACATGTTGTGTTTACATGTGCATCGTTAATATTTGTGTGTTAGGGTTCATTGTTTCTCTGCATTCATTGAAACTTTCACTGCACAATGTCACTCTATGGGTTAGTGTTTTCATAGTCTTTTTACTAGGCCTAGAAGTTTTATAAATGTATGTAATTGTTTTGATACGTGACGTTGTTTTATATGTGCATTAAAACAGAAATTTTTTTTAAAATAGAGCAAACATATGTTTATATATAATGAATTCACTGCAAAATAGGTATGTTTTTGTCAATCAAATAATTCAGCTTGAGAGTAATAGACATTAAAGTTTTGCTTCATTATTATAGCTATCCCTAACCTGTGCATAAGAAACTGAGACCATTTTTTCAAGATCCCCTCCTTATTTTCTGTAAACATTAGCACTTGTATGCTTAACAATTATGAAACTATTAATGGAAACTTCCTGCCACAGGTCACCCAGCAGTTATTTTTCTGTACAGGATTCTAATCAATCCACTTAGTACATAAGAACTAGTTTGTATGCCCCTCAGTTGATGTCTAACTTGTTTTTTGTTTGCATGAAAAGGAAATGTTTCACCTGAAAAAGGATACTGAACATGTTATTAATTGAACAGTAGAGACGATGCCATGGGCTGTTGTTTTGTAATCATGCTGTTGAGCTCTGTTTCTTCGGTGAAAATCTTAGACTGCAAAACACTTACACTGAACTATAAACACAAAGGCAATAAAGTTTGTAAACGACCTTTACTCTCCAGCTAATAATAATAAAAATTTTATTTCAGCTTCAATGTAGTTAGTAATACAAGTTCTTGTAATAGTAGCACTGATGAAGCTGCATTTTCTATTACTATTTTTCAGAGAATAAAGGTTGTTGTTTTTCTAACTTTATTATCTGAATCCCTCCAGCATGCATTACAAATTGTGAAATATAAACATAAAGAATTGAAAGTGTCAAATACAGTAGGTATAAAGTGGAAAAAGTTGTTTGTCTCTATACATATTAACCTTTTAACTGTATAATTTAGGCCAAGGCTTTCTCCAGCTAGCCAAGAAGAAGCCATCATCTATGCACATGAGTCCACCGTTAAAATATTGAAGTACTTGTGAAAACTATTAAGTTTTCTTCTACTTTAGCATTATGCATACAATACGTCCAGGATTCATCCATTGATTTGGAAAGAACTTTTTAATGACCAAACAGTTGGTGCTCTTTTAAGGAAAGTAAGTATTATTGTTAACCTCCTGCATGATTTCATATCTTAGATATGAAATAACAGCAAAATAAATTTTTCATTTTACATTGCAAAATATTTCAATACATTTTGGGGGATGATATTTAGAAGAAAAAAAAAATATTCTCCAACTTGTTGCATATCTGTGTAAGAGCTTTAAGTATTCAGTTAGTTATTAATATACTGTGTAGAGAGTATCTTATTATAATGGTTGTCTCTAAGAATAATACTTAAATAGGCACAAATTTTACAAAGACTGGTGATGTGGATTGAAGTGCATTACTTTTAGTGCCTAATCCGTAAGAGTACCTGAAGTCACTTTTATTTCAGGTGCTTTATTTTAATAAGATTTCCTTCAGTGTTTTAGATTATGCTATACTTAGTAAAGCCCAAATGGAAGACTATTTAAAATGTATATAAACAATACCATTAATTTACAACTTATTTTATATAAAGTTAGACACATATTGTATTTGGGTTTTAAGATTGTACTGAAGGTTCATATAACATCCCAAATTTACAGTAACTCAAGTTCTGCATATTGAGAGTAAAAAACAAAGTTTTTTGGCACAGTGAAAGATAAATTCTATTAGTTGTTTCAACTAGTTTGGTGACACAATTACCATCTTCAGAGCTTGTGACAATGGTAACTGTATTACCAAAACAACTAATAAACAGTTTCTCTTTCACTCTCAATTTAAAATAGCAAAATGTGCCTGAAGAGAAATTATAATATTGTGTATATTGAATTTGTTCTCTGTCAAGTAAAAATTTAGATAAAGGATTATAATAACATTTGGAGAAGTTCAGTAATAGTATAACTTTATGGTTTGGTTATCTTATTAAATAAAATAATTTTAATACTTCTCACAGTTTAAATTAACTTGAACCACTAATGAATCTTTTGAAAAAAAATATATATAACTTACTGGCTGCTAGCACCTTATTTAAATTAAGAGAAAGAATTACCCAAGATTGGTTGCCACTTGTAAGTGTTCTCTTTTAGTTTTTATGTGGTTAGATGTGATAAATTTAATGTTATTATTGTTACTGACACTTTGAACAGTCTTAATTATTTAATTTATCGATGGTTTAAAACAAATTAAAGTGTACGTCAAATTTAGTTAGTAGCCTAATTTTTGTTAATGTTTTTATATTTTAATATAACAAGTCATGTATTATTTGTACATACATTTATTCACAGCTTTGGTCTTGATTTTTTTACAAACAATTTGAAGTCAGGGTAATATGTATGAACAAGTAGTGATTTCTACCTATTATTATCTACCTTAGCTGTTAAACATCTTGTTAGTTTTTTTCTGAATACATCACATTGAAGTCAGTGGACCAAAACAGTGAGGATATATAATTTGTTATACCTCATAAGAGATTTTTAATTACTTGATTTAATGAATGTGTTTTCAAACAAATATTTGTATGTGCAAGTGATTATTTGTTTCAAAGGTTTTTATATGTGTAGTGAAGGGTAATAAAGTTTTGTTCCACATCTAATATTCATATTATATATATATATATATATATATAGTGTCAAATGATAAATTAAGTTTTCATTTATTTACAAGATCCTTACTATGTCCTGTATTGTTGTTTTTTTTAAAGATACAAATTGAGAATACCGGAGGTACTTTTTTCTTCTATGTTTGAGAAATACAAAATTTCATTTTGTTTTTATCTTGTGTGATTTAAAAAACAGATACCTACATCAGTATTGGCCACTAAATTAAAAATGTCAAATAGTTCCAGTCTTATTGTGATAGCTTTTATTTATTTATTTTTAGCCCTTTTTGAATATAGTTGTATGATTTCAAAATGTCAGTATGACAAGCAAATAGTATTTTTATTAGAAACTGGGCATTTGAATTCTAGCCCTAAACTTTGGCACATTGATCTACTTATCTGTTCTGTAGTCTATGTAATATGTTCATTATAGACTGTGTGTGTGAAATTTTAACTTTTAAGCCTTTTTTTGAAGTTAACTAAGCATTAATTACCCCAGACTGCACTAGTGATGATAGCCTGAGGCAAAAATTAATTGCAAATGTTTATAGTAAAACAAATATTTTTCTAAAATTGCACTTTGCTTTACTCATCAAGGTATTGCATAACTTAAATTTAAAAAATTCATACATTAAGCTCATTAATCAAAATATCTTTTTTGTCCTACATTTTTAGTAATTATAGAAGATTGTTAAAAATTATTTAACTAGTAAAACAATGTAAGTTTTTATTCAAAGTTAAGTACAAAATGAACTACATAGAAAGGTTTACAAGTAGTACGTATCAGTTTAGTTTCACTCTTGTTGCCAACAATAAAGATGATGAATGATTTTCCACTAAGCCTTTTTATAATGTTGGATCTGTTTGATAAACTCAAATATTCAAAATACACACTTTTTAAGATAATTTATTTTCACTTAATTTATCTACTATACAACTAAAAATCAATAAATTAATTTAACATACATCTTCAAAACTACAATTTTTCAATGGCTTCTCTTTCTTCTGCCGATGGACAATATTTCTTGAATGAAAAGCCACTGTCTGAAAAAAATTTCAGCAATACAAATTTAATGTCTAATTAAATACCTATTTTGAGCAGACCTAAAGTATTTTTTAAATGTGATAAAAAAAACACTAAACTTAAAATTATTACCCATCTCTTATAAAAATAGCCAGTGTTCCAAAAATCACTTGACCCTGTGGATATCATCACAACACAGTTCATACTAAAATATTAACAAAAAATAAAGCCAAAGGAAAACTACAGATGATGGTGTTAACATGTTTGGAAATGCCACAAAACTGTACTCACTGCAGTGTTATCAAGATGCTTGTTATTTACAATAAACTAAAACTTATCAAAAGTCGGGCTGAGCAAAATGTTTGGGGAGGGGGCAGACATATGGGATTACAAATATCTCTAGTCAACTCCAAATATTATATTGGTAACAGATATGCAAGTATTGTTCAAATGACAAAAAGTAATGTGTCATTGGAATCAGCTTGAATTATACTTTGAACTGGATTGAACCATTTACATTTGTAAAGTGCAGCAGAATGACTTTAATTCACACAATGTTGAATATTTCCCCAAGCTCTTAAATCAAAATTCCTAGTGGCTTAGAATTAAGTATGCAATAGTTAATTAACTTTATTTGTTACTGTAAAAATTGCATCTGGTAGTACTTGCTGACAAGTCCAGTCCAGATGGACAAGTTGATATTCTGTGCTGAACTTTTGCTATAATTTGTAGATAGTGAAAACTGTAAATAAACTAAAGTTATTTTTCATAACTCTCAGTCAGTAGCCCATATAATCACTGAAGTCAAGTCAGGAGGGGGATTTTTCTCCTGTTCCAACAATTTTTAGTATGTTGTTAAAGGAGCTATGACTAACAAGTAGAAAATGTGAAAAGCTTTTCTGATGATTTTTTTACTATTTCAGTGGTATTATGGGTTATTTCTACTATACTGTTACTTACACGTAACTGGATCATATACGATACCAAAATTTAAGGAATTTATTGCATTACAATAAAAAAGAATAAACTCCATTAAGATATTTCTTTAGTTCAATAATTATATACTAAAGGGGCTGTGACAGCAATTCATGCAGAAATAGGCCTTTTTCCACACAGTTATATCACTAAAGAAATTTATGGTTATCTTATAGTTCTTACTATTAAGCAATTTGAAAACCAAATAAAGAGTTATAAATAAAAAATTTTGAGAGAGAAAAAGGTACATGAAACCAAATAAGATTTATTATATGCTTTCATTCTTTTGAGCTCTTAAATCATCTTTTTTTTTTCTAATACAGATAAATTTTATTAGCTATGTATAAAACGAGTGAAACATCAATGGTTTTATTGAGGTTATTCTACAAAGTTTTTAAGATATTTCTAACTGTCCAGTAGTATAGCCAGAAGAATTAACATCTTAGGATTGTAGTTATTTTTCAAAACTTTTACACTTCAGAATATTTTCAAGTAGAAATGAGATCAGATTAACACAACACTGGCTGCTAAAAACTTGATAACGGGTTTAAATGTGTCAACTAAACTTGTGAAACCCAATTAGGTGACAGCAAAAGTAATATAACTACTGTTAAGGGGTGTGTGGAATCTTATGTCTTTGTAGTTGGTAAGTTTTGATAGAAGAAAGAGTTGAGGATAGAAATACAAAAATCTCATGTTAACCAGTATGATACTTTTAAAAACTATACTGTATACTAGAAATATTACATTGTTGAAAATCATTACGAAGGAAGAATCTAGCTACAAAAAAGTTTTAAGACATTTCATTAAGTAAGCAATTATTTATGTAGAGAAATGTTCTAAAATTTTCTTTAATATTAGAATATATCCATTAGTTTGAAATCATAAATAAACAACTAATAAGTATGTCAAGTATACTAATGACTTAAGATTAGAGGCTATTAACAGATACAATACTTACTTAAATACTGTGAGGAAGGGGTTATTCTCCATCAGGTCGACATGACTGAAAAACTCCCGCTTGCCTCATCCTTTCAAAATCTTTTTCCACATCGTAGTTTCTACAGAATATTATAAAATTAAAGGTACAACAAAGTGAAGTTCTTGTACAGATATGTGGATCTGAAAATTAGAAAGTAAAATATTTCACTAGTGGGATCTGATCTGTGTAAAAGCCTCATTGTTAGAAGCTCAAATTTTAAATGGATACTTCCTGCATTGGTTATTATGAAAACCAACTATGTGGGTCCATGAGTGATGGAAAAGCTATCATTTCGGCATTCTGGTGTCTATAGAAAAAGAGTATAGTTGGTTCTAACAAATTATATATATAAAGATGTAACAATTATTCAGATTACAGGTGCTTTTAATTACATTCTTCTTAACTAGATAAATGTACGTTTTTAGTCAGAGGTGTGTAAAAACAGAATTTCATTTTCTTGTTGTTGTACAATAAGTCATTGTTACATGAAGTTTAATGATAGGTGAACTACATATATGTGAGCCAAAATACTATTTGAACTTCTAATTGAATACAGTTTATGAAACTAGTATCCCCAATGATGGAAATGAGACTTAAATATAAAATATACAGCAAAATAAAAGTAGCTGTCTTATAAATTTCCCATAGAGTTAGAATGTAGTGAAAATCACAAACTAATATACCTATTAGTAAATACCAATGATAACAGTAAACGTTTAAAAAAGATACACTTTTGAGATTCAAGCATAGTGGATACTTGGGGTCATTCCATGGGTGAAATATGTTTTATCAAGTAGAAAATTTCCAAAACTTAGCATTTTACATGAGCTGAAACAATAGTGAGTAATAATAACCAAAAACTTAAAAATAAATTAAACCCAAAGAACTAGCAACAGGTTATTAAATTAATAAAACCAATTAAAAACACGACAAAAAATATCTTAATGTTCAAGGACTGACAAAATACTGGATTATCACAAGTAACCAATCAGGTGCTGGATGGATATAGAAGAAATCAGACATGTTATGTTTCTTATAAAAGACTAGTAACACAGTTACACATCATCTTTGATACTTTAAAAAAGAAATTAATTCATGTAGACTTGTAAGTATATCACTGAGTCAGTAAGAACAACAGAAGTTTGTTGTCAGTAAGTGTAAGCTTAAAGATGTATCACAAGAATCGCTTAAAATATAAAACGGGCAATTTAGTCACACGATCCTTTTAGTGTACAAGACAAATCAATGTATTAAAACAACTGAAATACACAAGGTCTTAAGAAAAAAACATTTTTATAACAAATATGGAGGACAGGATTGCAAGAGTTGTATGAAGGAATATTTAGGAAAAGTGATCAATGCACAATCAAGGTTTACTACAAAGCCAACTTTGAGGCCACAAGGTACAATGTTAGTAAATTGGGATAATGAATTAAAAGTAGTGTGGAAAGGACTTGGGAATTTTAAAAAATAAATTTCTTTTAATTCAAGATAGGCATGCTGCTAAAAATAAAAAATGATAACAAAAGCTAACCTAATTTCGATTTGCAATGCCTGAAATAAAATTGATAAAAATTACAGCTGCCAACTTCATATAATTCACACCAAAACAGCTGTTCAAATAACTGATATAAAACACATCTATGTCTGTTATATCCCAACCAGTCTGATGATCCCTGGTATTGAACAAAAGTCTCACTGGCATTGAATGTAACAGTTATTTTACTTTCAGAATTCAGTTCTTAGAATTTAACATGGAAGATTTAGAAAACTACAAAAAAGTTAGGGATCTGTTTAAAAAAGAAATTAGGAAATCAAAAAGGGTTTATGAAATACAGTTGATTAATAATGTTAAAACTAACAGCCAAGACTTTATATTCTTGTTATTTTAGCACAAAGCTACACAGTTGGCTGTATGCTCTCTGTCTACAGCAGATTTTAAGGTTCTGTAAACTTAATGCTGACTTTGTTAAGTATATTAAAAGATAGCAAAATGTTCAGATAAGTATTGGACCTTTAAAGGATGTTGATGGCATGGTTTCTGTTGAAGACCATGAGTTGGCTGAGTTTTTACAATAAAGAATATTGGCAACCTTTTGGACCCTGATAATCTTATGAAGGAAATAATCTGAATTGTACAGACATTAAATACCTTGGTGGCAGGTGGAAAAACTGATTAAAGAATCAGAATCAGACAGGTTTTAAAGACAGATGAAGATAATATACGTAGGCCTCTATCATTTTTGATAGATCAATAGACAACAAGCAGATGCCTGAGGATAAAGAGTTCCTAATGTTACTACAGTTTTTAAACAGGGGTGATAAGAGTTGCCCTGTAAATTATAGGACAGTTAGACTTACTTCTGTAGTAGGGAAAAAGTTCATTAAAATTGTGTAAGTGTACATGAAACTATGACATCAAGTATAAAATACGTAGGTTTGTGTGATTTTATTCAAGCTTCTTATACATTTAACAATATATGGGGCTACTACCTGCACTACATTATATTTAATAACATGTTTATTGAAAATACTACGACATATAATTATTCAATTTCACATAATGGAGTTGGGCTCAACAAAAAAACTGCTACAAGTCAAACAGCCAGTGTGAAGCAGGCATTTCAAAGATACAAAGACATATATTTCTAAAAACATATAGGATGTGCCTCACACCTAAACTGTATGCTTACTGATATGGCCTAAGGAAAGGAATAACATTCAGGTTATCTTCTTTTCTCGACATCAATAGAATGATGATGAAATTATAAAGGAAGATGTATGCATATATAACTAATGTTAAAAAAAACCACAAAATTGCTCAAACTGAAAAAAAAAATCTTATGATGATAAGTGAGT